TCGACAGGGATATTTGAATCAGAGCAAATTGCACCATCCCGACAAGAGAGCGTCGCAGGGTGGGGATCCGGAGGCGTTCAGAAGGATCAACTACGCCTATCGGGTTCTGTCCAATCCGACAATGAGGTCCTTTTATGATAAGTACGGGGTGGATGGCATCAGCATGGCTGATGGTGTTGTGGTCAAGCAGGATGAGACCTTGGCTAATCTTGAGCGACGAGTAAGGGCCATGATGAGGGGTAATGAGGAAATGAAGGTTCATAGGATGTTCAACCTGCAAGGTGATATGACTACTGGCCTCAAGTTCAGGGACTGGCAGGAGGCCCCACGGTGGGTGTATACGAGTTTTACTCATGGTATGGGCATCACTATGGGAAGGCACAACTTCACAGTGGTCACTGCGAGCAATGTCCAAGCCAATGGAGGAGGAGTTGGGAAAATGACGTATTTTTGGCAGACCGGGTGGACCCCCTATATGCAGAGCCGTGTGATGATTGACACTGTAGCGGGGCAGTGGTGGCCACCCGCCGTGGAAGCGGTCATTACTCGGCAAGTTGGTCAACATTCTACTGTGAGGCAGACAGTCTCTTGGACACAGACGGGTGGTGTGGGCGCGGCCATGACCTGGGGCCTGCAGCTTTTCAAGGACTGGGCTGGCAGTGTCACACTGGCTGTTGGCAATGGCAACCACGCGGCGTTCGAGGTTGAGAAGGCCAACTCGAAGGTGGGGAGTGAGGAGGACCTTGCCAGGATGAGGGTATGGGATCGCTGCACTATGAAGTATACTTTTACTATCGAGGGAGAGGGCAACATCGCCGTTGAGGCCAAGACCGTACTCCCCTTCAGTGGCGGCTTTGAGGTCTCCTGTGGTCCCACAATGTCTCTGTCAGCTGGTGCAGGTATTGAGCTCAGGTGCTCTCAGCGGCTGAACGGGGCAGAGAGTTTGACCGACTGGGAGGAGCTCGATGGGGTCTTTCCGACGCTTATCCAGTGGTCGCTGATGCTCCGATGGCCCAACTTCGACTCGGCTGTATTGAAGTTCCGCTTTACTCGAGGCGGCGCTGCCTTCACTATTCCGCTGGAGTTCTCCGTGCCGGGGGATAATACGGCTGTTGCTGTGGCAAGCAGTGTGTTTTTGGCAGCTCCACTTGCAGTGAAAGTTGTGCGAGAGACGGTACGAAGGCTGAGAAAAAATTGATACTTAATATGTGCCAGGAGAGAATGTTAATCGTTGTAGTATGAACCGTTTCGTGATAGTAAGACGACGAGTTGCTTGTATTAAGAGGGGCCTCTTCCATGGTCATCGTCCGATCCTATGGGGCGGAGAAGTCTGACACAATAGGTGTCTCCTTTTTCCATGGCAGACTTTGTTTCAGTGTATCGTCGACTTTGACGTTATTCTTAGTATCACTTTAGTGTTAATTCTCAACATGTCGACATCAGCTTGTCGAGGGTCATGTTTTTCCCTCACCAAGCGATCGCTAGTGGCGCTCATGGCAATGCTTCTCCTTGGGGCTGTCATGGGTGCTGATGTTTTTGATACCCCCTCGGGTCGGCCGGCGTCGCTGGTGGGAGGCCAGGTTGACGGTACCAAGTGTGAGGTTGAGGCAGTGCAGCGGGCCAACTCGGCACAGCTCCATTCCATACTCGAGGAGTTGGCTAACACTACGTACTTCCGTTTGGTCCGGGTAGCTATGGATGAAGACTGCGCCTTCACTTGGGGAGACGCCAACAAAGACGAAGTTATGTGTGGGTCGACCCCTCCGGGAGGCGCTGGAGCTGCTTTCGGGTTTGACACCTCGCTGAGCCCTGCAGCTTCTGGTGGTCCTTCACTGTGTAGTATTGAACCCAGCGGCAATGAGGTTAACCCCTTCATCAGTGAATCTGAGTCCAATGTGATCGAGGACGAATTTGAGGACGACTTGGATGACCTAGATGATGACGAGAGTATCAAGCCGGACTTCTGGTTCGATATTTGTCGTCCCCCTAGGGCCAGCGACAAGCTTGACTACGTTAACCTACTGTTGAACCCCGAGCACAATACTGGCTATAATGGTTCTCACATATGGGAGGCCGTCGATGCCGAGAACTGTGTGAGCATAGGTCGAGGCTTAGGCACTGATGGCTACTGTTATGAGGAGCGTGTACTGCAACGACTGCTCTCGGGCATGCACGAGGCTGTCACTATACA